TATTGCTTTGTTCGAGATCATTCCACAGTGAAGAGGCACTCTAAAGGCAAGAAGAGACAGGAATTCTTTGTAATTAATTTGCACTGTATGAATGTAAATGGATACTTGAAAAAAGTTGGTTCTCTTAAATATCCCAAGTATTCCCCAGTGTGATCTTCTGCGTTACTGTTCAAGTATTACTGTCTGGACAAACCCTTCATCGCTGGGTAGCCTGAAGGTTACCTCCAGTCCAGCCCTGCCTCGTTATCATCAACTCCAAATGCCAACTGGGTTTGAATCAGTCAGAGAGATTTGAGCTTTCTGGATGCAGTCATGGCATCTTAAAACCTGGATGTTGTATATGGTATCTCAAGATGAAGTGAGATTAGAAAAGTTTTATGAAAGAGGAATCCTCAAGTGTAGACAAAAGGCAGACCTATTCTATGAAAAGATACCTCCTTATATCTGAGCTACAGGTTCCCCTCGGCACCTAGCCACGTGCACATGGTGTCCTGGGGTCCAGATCTTTATACCACAGGAGTTGTATCATGCCCATCTCTCTGTTATTCCCTTGAACCAGGGCACCAAGTTTCCATATTGAAGTGTGGGGGAAAAATACCGAATTGCCTCCCGTTTTCTAATAGGGCCATCGAGCAGTGCATTCGCAATGCTATAATCGTATCATTTTTAAGGTCAGGCATTTAGAGTGGCACAAACCTTCGATGTGGGCTTAAATTCTTAGTATTATAAAAACTTACTGCCAAGCAGGGACTTCCTTGAAAGACGCTCCAGTCTCCAGGGCACTATTTACGTGCGAAGTGCTGACAATTTGGGGATCATTTTTTAATAAACACAGTGCAAATGTGGCACACAAAGCGGGGCATTTAGAAAGCCATGAAAATAAGCCCAGGCATATAAAATACGGCATGAAAAAGGTAACTGTGAACTTTGCAGATGGACTAGCATGAACAAAAACTGTCTTTTGTTAGGGTGGAGGTAAAAGCTTGCAACTCTTTGCTGCAAGACTGAGAGCAGGAACTTAAGTTGTTTGGTTGTTTTGAAATAACAGCTATAAAGAGGGCTCCTTCTGGTTCATCCATATTTTATTAGGGCAGCAGTTAAAAAATTCATTAGAGACGCCCATCTGTAGCTAGCAGCCCTCTTGAGGGGGGTTCAGATGGCGATCAGAGTTTTGAGTAGCACTTTACATGAAAAGAAAAAGACAATCGTTTATAAGAATTAATAGCACTACGGAGAGAGCCTGTTTGGTCAGTGACTTCAGAGCAAATGCTTTCATGTGGTCTGTGAATCTCTTGCTGAGAAATTCCTTGGCTACCTGCTTCAGCGGGAAGAAGTAAAGCCAGGCATAGAAAGGAAGGAAAACAGAACACAGAAAAGTGGATCAGAGAGGTGGGAAGGTATTGGTCGACAAGAGAGCATATATAGGCTGTCTCTGTGACCCTGGGCTGGATGGTGTGTGTGTGTGTGTGCGTGTGTGTGTGTGAGAGAGAGAGAGAAGAGAAAGAGACAGGGAAGGACAGATAGAGAGAGAGAGAGACAGAAAGAGACAGAGAAAGAATAGATCCCTATAGGTCTCTAAGAATTTCTGAACATAGTACAGAAAAGGGCTTAGAGTCAGGTCTGGGGCTGCTTTGGTTTAGATTTGCCTTGAACTCTGCCTCTGGGTACCCATGTCCAGGTCTCTTTGCTTCAGGAGGATATTCCTGAATTGAAAATAAAAATAGTTTTCGAACAGTTACTCTGTGCCAGACATGGTATAGGGCATTGAAATTCATCATCTTATGTATCTTTCCAGCAATTCCATGAACTAGAGCCCCCTTTAACGGAGAAGGCAATGCAAGCGGAGAGGCTGGTGAACAGCATTCACTAGGGAGAGGCAGAGCTAAAGTTTAAACTCAAGCAATCTGTCTCCAGAGTCCATACCCTTTCCTAGTGCAAAGTGTAGGCCCATAAATCATGTGTGCACTTGTGTGTATGTGTTTTTTAAGGAAGGTTTTTATTTTGGAATACTTCCGGATTTATAGAACAGTTGCAACGACACGACGGGCTTCCTTTCCCTCAGTTTTCCCTACTGCTCACAGCTTCTATGATCGTGGCGGAGTTATTACGTCTCAGGAATGAATGTACTGCGAACTAAACTACAGACCTAAATAAGATTTTCCACCAGTACCTTTTCTCGGTTGCACGATCTAGTCCAGGATTCACATTGCATGTCACACTCAAAGTGGGCTGAATGTTGACCCGCAGTTTGGCCCCTGTGCCCCTCACTGCGCCTTAGGGAAGTGAGACCGCTCCTGGCAGCTCCTGCCTCCTGGCCCCTTCCTCGTGGGGGGAGGGCTGTTGTAGGGCCCAGGACTCCCCCTGTCTGACCGACAGTGGGAGCTTAATGTGGGCTAGAAGACTTGGATCAGATGTATGGGGACACATTTTACATACAGGCCACACTTTGTCCACGTGTAGAGGCTCACAGCTAAAAGCCACATTTCAAGAAACGTGAGGGGACGGGAAGATTCTGCAAATTCTGAGGTGCAGCAAATGTGGTTTAGGACACGCTTGGATTCTGAGCACATTAGGACGTTAAGTAGGACTTTCCCCTGGAGCAGAGGTTCCCAGGCCTGGCACTCCCTGGAATCCCACCCAGGGGGCCTGCGTCTCACGCCTCAACATGGGGATTTCATCAGCCCGGGACTTTGGAATTTTGGAAAGAAAGATACCCCGGTGACTCTGATGGGCAGCCAAGTTTGGGGACCGCTCAGTGTTCTGCTGGAGAGCTACAGCTGAGGTGACAGGAGGTGACACGTGTCCGCACACCAGAATGGCACCTGTCGCCTCAGGCTGCATGTGGCAAGGCCAGCATCCCACACCCCACGCGTCCTGGACCCCACATGGTTGCCTTCGGCCACTTCAGGTCACTTCTTTCCCTCAGCCTCCTCTTTTCCCAGAATTCTTCCTTAGGTGGCATCATGGGCTCTTCTGGATTTCCACCAGCTGACTGTGCTCCCCACTCGCCTCTCTGCAGCGCAGGGCCCCGCCTCGGGCCCCAGCCCCACCCGTCTGCGCCCGGGCCTCCTCACAGCCTGCCTTCCCCTTCTTCTCCACGGGGGCCACGCCTGCCTGGGCCCCGGACGCTCTGAACTTCTTCGAGCTGTCACCTCCATTCCTTCCCTCCGCCGACAGTGACCTCACCCCCTTTAGGGCCTCCGTAGCCTCAGTCTTTCCGTTCAGCTGCAGGCTCAGCTCCTCCACGAGGCCCTTCCGTCCTTCCTGCGGCGGGATTGCTTCCGGCCCGTTCTGCATCTGCTTGTGGACGTTTCCGCCTTGTCCACAGAGCTGTGAGCACCTTGGGGGCACGGACTGCGGCGGTGAAAACTCACTACAGACCACCTCACAGTAAAAATTCTGTGAGTCATAGGTTGCATGTGATGTCAGCACCCACGTAACTACCACCCGCTTGAGCGATGGAATGTTACCCTTGAGTCCCCCGCGCATCGTGTCCCTGCCCCCAGCCAGTTTGTGCTGTGTTTATATTGCTCTTCTGGGTAGTTTTAGCGCATTCCTGTCGCCTGTGTTCCAGGCAGAACCATCTTGTCAGGTTCCTTGGCTCGGGGCTGACGTTCTCGCCAGTGACCCCGCGCTTCCGGGTGGGACCCGTCCCTCCCGACTGGAGGCCGTTACAGGAAGTGAGCTCTGCCACTCAGGAATCCAAGCGCTAGCATCTGGGTGACCAGGAGGCTGATAGAAAACAGACAGAGCTTTGCTGTCACCGAACTCCCGGTGGCTGGCTGCGAGGGCCGGGCCCTGCAGACCTGTCTATACTCGCGGTGAGCGTGGCTTTGAAGATTATGGAAATGCTAGGTCACGGTGAGGTGGCCCTGCTCACCACGAGCAGCTGGTGAACAATCCTGTCTAGGAAACCAATCTGCCCTTTGAAGGGATGGAAGAGTGTCTGCTTGTGAAGAGCGACATGTCAGCATGTGGTGATTACTTTGGCTGGGAGATGCATTGACAAGAGCACTCGGTTGGCCCCTGATCACTTGTGTGTCTAAACATTGCTTGGGGAAGGGGGGTGGGGGCTGGGAGACTGTCCCAGAGGCTACAAAGGACCTGCGCCTTGCACGTCATCACATAAGAGACCTGGATTCAATATGATGTGTGAGCACAGGATGGACATCAATGTTCCAGGAGCTGATTTACTCCTGACCCCATGATCTCACCTCTGAAAGTACCAGGAAGATGGTGTGTGCTGCAAGCTTACTTTTCTCATTTTTGCCTCCGTTTGGTGCCTTTTTTTTTTTTTTTTAAGTTTACCTATTTATTTTGAGAAAGAGAGCGAGAGAGAACCAGCATGAGCAGGGGAGGGACAGAGAGAGAGAGAGAATCCCAAGCAGGCTCCAGCACAGAGCCTGGCTTGGGGCTCAAAGTCACAGACCACGAGATCATGACCTGAGCGGAAGTCAGAGGCTTAACTGACTGAGCCCCCCAGGCGCCCCAAGCATCCTACTCTTGATTCCGCTCGGGTCATGAGCTCATGGTTCGTAGGCTTATAGCCCATGTTGGGCTCTGAGCTGGCAGTACAGAGCCTGCTTGGGATTCTCTCTTTCTTTCTCTCCTCTCTACCCCTCCTCTGCTCATGCTCTCTCTCTCTCTCTCAAAATAAACAAACTTAAAAAAAAAACTAGGGGAGCAGGAGGAGGCAGGGGAGCTGCAAGGGAGGTGGGAGGAAGGAGGTCTCAGACCATAGCGTACACCTGCTCCTTAGAGTTGCCCTGTGTCCCCGGGAACAGGCCTCTGAATCATCATTCTTCTCTTCCATCCCAAAAGGTATCTGTATGGGGTGACACTAATTCAGGAGTATTCTGGAGCTCATGGAGTCTCTGCTTTGCTGAAGGGCAGAGAACTGTGAGGTAAACCAACAGAGCCAACTAGATTCTCCCATTCATCTAGTGTCTGATTGAGTTCTCCCTCCTCTTTGATGGAAGTGTAACATCCCGTACCGGGACATGGCTGGGGTACCCCGCAAGCTGTTGGATCACGAGCAGCTGGGGGCGGGGATGGCATCTCGCCCATGTCCGCATCCCACACAGCATCTAGCGTTCAATAAGGCATTGCCATTTAATATGGGTTTTAATAACCCATTGCGCAATTAAAATGGAAGTGCCATAAATGTTGATTTATTCCACACTAGGACTCGCCCTGCTTACTAGATGCTTCTTACAACAACCCGAAGCCATTTCTGAATCCTCAAGTGCTCTCTGAACTATCAAAGAAAGATGAACTTGTGCTCAGCAGAGTGTTTGTGTTTCAGGGTGTATATGATTGGATTCTGATTCTTTGGAAACAAGCTAATCCACAGGGATGTGTGGTTTCTTTACGATTCAGTCTTTGGTTAACCTGAATGTTTTAGAAAAGACTTCTGCCCCAACCATGACAAATAGGATTAAAATTCTTTCCATGAGGAGAATATATTCATTTATGCTTCCGCTGTACATTTCTATCCAAGTCGTGTTGTGTCAAGTCTTATGTGTCTGTTCTTCTCTGACTATTCTGTGTGTTCTCAGCAGTGGCCCTGAGTGCCTGTATTTCTTCTTCAGGAGACAGACATGCCTTCACCACAAGGCCTTGGAATCATCGAATCACTGAGGAAGGGGGCGGTGGGATGACTCTCCAGAGACCCCACGGGCACTTCATGTAGATTTGAACTCTGGGTCTTGGTTTTAAGGTCTTCCGAGTAAATTCATGAGTATCATGCTTTCTTAAATTACAATTTTAGATTTCCTACTTAAAAATAAATATTATCTGGCCAATGTGTATTGGGATGCCTTCTCCGTATACTAGGATTTTTTAGGAATTGTAAGGGTATCAGGAAGCTTGTATATAGCATAAGTGGGGAACAGCTTGTATACACCGAAGAGACTAGCAAGCAGTGATGGGTGTTAGTGGGGGGACAGAAGAGATGTGGACCATTATCGAAGCCCTGTGAACTGGGTGGTCAGGACTAGGGAGCTGATGGGGAAGGGTGTCGGAAGCCAAAGGGTGGAAAGGATTTGTCTGGAAGAAGACCACTAGAGGCAGGTAGGTAAGATTCTCTCTGATCTGACTGGTTGACTAACTAGCTTCCCCCCAGTTTTCCCTGTATGTTAGATAAGCACATATTTCTGGGCACCTTTTCTGGACTGTGTGTAGAGGCCTTCTGACACCTGGGTCTAGTCCAAGCTCTTGTCTTTCACTTCCTGTCAATCCCAGAGCTCACTGGGCTGGACGGGGGGTGCTCCTCCCCCCCTTCCCCCCCAGAGTCTACTATGGAGTGAGAGGGTGAGAGGGACAGAAAAGGCCACATGAGGCATCTCTCCCTCCTCAGCCTGTCCAGGGCCAGACGGGCAGAATGAAGCCATTTCTGGGCTTTACAAAGAACGGAAGGCACAGCTGGTTTGCCCCGGCCAGCCCTCAAAGCCTGTGTGCACTTTGGGCCCCCCTGCACCTGGCTATGTTCTACTTCCTGCCCGCTTCACCCTGAAGTTAGGTGTCGGGAACGAATGTTGACCTCCAAGGACTGAATGTGTCACGACCCTTCCTTAACGGCAGCAGGGCATGAGAACAGGGCTTGGGTTTGAACAAACCTAAGATGTAGGATCTCAGGCTGGATATATAATAATAGTTGATTTCTGGCCACAGGGGACATAGGTTTCTTCAAAAAATAAAAATTAAAAAAAAAAAGTGAAAAAAGGGAACTTTGCATATAGGGAACTGGGGGTCTTTCTAGAAGTTTCAGAGCAGATATCTGCCCAATGTGGACTTCTTCTAATCCTTCTGGCTCACTGCAGAAGTGCCTCCAGATCCAGCTGTCCTGAAGGTTAGGATTAATAGAGTGTGATGGGGGCATCTGGGTGGCTCAGTTGGTTGAGTGGCCAACTTCAGCTCAGGTCACGATCTCATGGCTCAAGGGCTTATGAGTTTGAGCCCCGCATCTGGCTCTGTGCTGACAGCTCTGTTTCCCATTCTGTGTGTGTGTTTTTGTGTCACTTTCTCTCTATCTCTGCCCCCCTCCTTGCTTGCGCGCACTCTCTCAAAAATAAACATTTAAAGAAAGATTTTTAAAAAATGGAGTGTGATGGTTTCTGCCTCTTGGGCTGCCTTCTGGGAAGGCTCACGCCAGAAGATGGGATGTCCAAGAGGTCCCGTGGGTGCAGGAGCTGGGCCATCCACACATTTGACCCTCCTCTCTCATCTCCACATTTAGTGAGCATTTTTCTCTGTCTGGTCTTCTTGGCTTGTTGTACAGGCTGCACTGTGGCCCCATGACATCTTACCGGAACCCATAGGAACATGGATTCCCATTCACAGGATGCTTTGTGTAGCATCTGGAAACTGGGTTAAGGGGATTTCAGAACCCTCAGCTGAGTAGCTTTAGAAAAGGCTCCTGCAGCTATAAAAGAAATAATATTTCAAGGAAATTGTTTTCCCCTTGGCATCGCTGTTTCGACTTTAGAAGGGTTACTGGGAGACAATTACCTTGCATTAAAAAAATAGTTAAAAGCCTTTTTAAGCCAGAAGATGATATAGGTATCACAGGGCTCCTTTCTCAAGGTAGGAAACTGCTGAATTGTTTTCTGCTGGTAATTGGAGCCAGAATTCAGTGTTCTCTTTACCTCCTTCTGGATTCACTGTATGGGCATATGAGAGTTAGCCCTTCTTTTCAGCCAGCCCCTGCTCCCTCCTGAGCTCCCACAGCCTGGTGAATCCTTTTTCTCCTTGTGATTGGGACCCTAATGTGCAGGGGACACCTCAGATGGTGAACCTCCCGAGGGAAAGAATGGGAGGTACTTCGGGCCATATAACATGGTGATCCAATTTGACCTCTTTAAACATTTAAAAAATTTTTAATTGGAATAAATACATATAACATAAAATTTACCCTCTTAGCCATTTTTTAAGTGTTTATCTATTTTGAAAGAGAGAGAGAGAGAGAGAGAGAGAGAGAGCAAGCGTGAGCTGGGGAAGAGCAGAGGGAGAAAGGGACAGACGATCTGAAGTAGGCTCTGCCTTAGAAGGAGAGAGCCTGACACAGGGCTCGAACTCACAAACCATGAGATCATAACCTGAGCCGAAGTCAGATGCTTAACCGACTGAGCTGTCCAGTTGCCCCTACGCTCTTAGCCATTTTTATTGTGTACAGTTCAGTGGCATTAAGTGCATTCACATTGTTGGGCAACTCTTGCCCCATCGCCTTCAGAACTTTTTTATCTTCCCAGACTGAAACTCTGTCCCCAGGAAACACTAACTCCCCCTTCCCCCTTCTCCAGTCCCCGGCCGTCACCATTCTCCTCTCTGTCTCTGTGCATTTGACTGCTCCAGACACCTTATATAAATACAGTATTTGTCCTTTTGTGACCGGCTTATTCCATTTAGCCTGATGTCCTCAAGGTTCATCCAAGCTGTAGCCTCTGTCAGAACTTCTTCCCTTTTTAAGGCTGAATAATATTCCATTGTAAGAACTGACCACATTTTGTTTATGCCTTCGTCGATACTTAGGTTGCTTCTACCTTTGGCTATTGTGAATCATGCTGCTAAGAACATGGCTGTACAAATATCTCTTTGTGACCCTGCTTTCAATTCTTGTGGGTATATAATGAGAAGTGGAATTTCTGGACCATGCAGTAATTCTATTTTTAATTTTTTGAGGAACTACCATGCCATTTTCAGCTACACTGAAAACATTTTACATTCCCACCAGCAGCACACACTAGTCGCAATTTTTCTACATTCTAATCAACATTCGTTATTTTCTGATTTTTAAAAATTATTTTCAATGTCTTAATTTTTTTTTAAGTTTTAATTTAATTTCCAGTTGGTCAACCTACAGTGTAATATTAATCTCAGATGTACAATCTAGTGATTTAATACTTCCATGCATCACTCGGTGCTCATGACAAGTGCCCTCCTTAATCCTTGTTGATGTTCTTTCTCTTCCTTCCTTCCTTCCTTCCCTCCCTCTTTCTTTCTTTCTTTCTTTCTTTCTTTCTTTCTTTCTTTCTTTCTTTCTTTCTTTCTTTCCTTCTTTCCTTCTTTCCTTCTTTCTTTCTTTCCTTCTTTCCTTCTTCTTTCCTTCTTTCTTTCCTTCTTTCCTTCTTTCTTTCTTACCATCCAAACAGGTGGTCCAATTTGGCCTATTAATGATTCCATCTGTACATTTTCTGTACATTTTCATCATGTCCTTTTCTACCAATCCCAACTTTGTGTGGCCTCTGTCAAGAAAAAAGAAAGTCAGTCTTTGTTCTGACTTCCTGTCATTTCAAGTTCTCATCCTAAGTGATATACTTGGAGGCAAAGGATATAGCAAGAGCGTGTGTTTTGGAATCACATAGGCCTTGATTCATGCATCTCTCCCTCCCTTCATCCATCCATCCATTAATTGATTCATCTTTTATCAGGCAACTTAAATGCTAGTTTATTGTTCTGTAATGAGCAAAACAGGCTTTGGTAAACCAGGATCTGGGAGTTCTGGGGCAAATTAAAATTCTGAGCTTTAATTTTATTATTTATAAAATGAAAATAGTATCAAGCTCCTAGGGTTGTATGTTACATACTTCCCTCCCTTCCTTTACCCTGACTTCCTCTCCCACCCTCATAGCCCTTACGTTCCTCCCTTCACTGCCAGCTTCCAGAAGCCTACATACACAGGCGGTATTAGCTCTTCCCCTGGACCAGACAGTTGGCAAGAAAGACACTGGGTGAACACGTCTTGGGCTTTCTTGTCCTTTGATGCTCAAATTCAGGGAACAGGTGGCCCATGGGTCATTGCGCTTATTACCCCAGGGATTATCTCTGACACCCATCCCAAAGACTGGTGTGTGCCACGATCATAACACAGGGAGAGGCTAAGTGCCTAGCACCTTCTGTTTACCGTGACAAAGATCCTGGGCCTGTCCATGCACTGGGGGCAGAGCAGGATGTGTGGGCCTGGTGGGAAGCTGTGTTCCACTCCTCACCACAGGCTGAAGTACACCCACAGCCGCGCTCAGCACTGCCTGCTGTTACCTGTTTGCGTCCCATCTCATTTCCTCGTGGTGTGACAGGTGTGGGCCTGGAGAACCAGGAGACTTTGACATTGGTCAGCCAGTCACCTGCAGGGGTTTCTGGAATGTCCATTTCTCCGCGCCTCAGTTTCCTTAACTGTAAAAGGAAAGTTATAATTCCTGGTTTGGTTGATTCACAGGAGTTTGGTAGGGAGCAAATGAAATTAATGTAGACATGGCGGACGTATTATGAGTAACAATGTGCTATGCAATGTAAAAATAATACTTAACACTTTTATCATACTTACCATGTGTGGCAGGCACCGTTGTAGGCTGTCTGAATATAGTAACTCATTTAGTTAAATGCTCACAGCTACTCTGTGAGAGAAGTACTGTTAATATCTCCATTTTACTGATAAGCAAACTGAGGCACAGGTACGGTTAATATCTCCATTTCACTGATAAGCAGACTGAGGCACAGAGAGGTTAAGTAACTTGTGGAAGGTCACAGCTAGCAAGGGCACAGCCAGGCTTGGAACTAGGCAGTGAGGTGCCAGAGTGTAGGTTCCCATCTGCTCTCTGATCCTGCCCTGGAGGTATCAGCATTTTTTTTTAAATTGTTTCTGTTCCTTTTGCATCACTGGCTTGCAGAGCACGTCAGGCGGGGCCCCCTGTGATCCACTGTGTGTGAGAGAGGAACTGATGGGCATAAGCTGCGTCCCAGCTGGCTCTCCGTGGTCCAGAGGCGTGCGGGGTCGTGGCTGGCTCAGATCATGAAAACTCACACACTGTTCAATACGTAGCTAGGATAAGGGATCGGCCTTCTTTCTGAGGAGTGTGCTGGCATTTGCTTTCCAGGCCCGCTCAGGGCTAAAAGGGCTGATGTGCCTAAAAGCCTGACAGGCAAGGTGCCAGAAGGGAGCCCCGAGCTTGCGTCCCCACTGGGCCTGCTGACGTGCTGTCCCACCTCGCAGCAACGCCAGCTGCTCTGCTCACCAGAGGAGCTCAGACGCTCTGTTGCCTCTACATGTTTGAGGCAAGCACTGCGAGAGACTCATCAGAATTTTCGTCCCGCACTGGCCCCATGACCACCGGAGCCGGCGTCTCTCTTTGACAGATGCACGGAGCGGTGACCTCTAAACCTAGGATGCTCTCCACATGCAGTTCTAGCTGAGCTGGTGAGATCTGTGTGCTTATGGTGCTGTTTTCTCTTTTCCTCCCAGGCAGCCAGAATTGCTTACCACCTGCAGCGTCTTTTCGGAGGAGGCGGCTGGCACGGAGGCCGGGCTACATGAGAAGCGCAGCTGGGCCCTGGATCGGGTTCCTCTACCCAGCAGTGGCCACTCCGCTACGGGCTCAGGGAGGAGCGTGCAGTGAGGAGTCCCTCCAGTCTGAGTCCAGGGCCGGATGGTGCGGCCTTGAACTTGGAGGCCAGTGGCGAGGCCCCTCGGCCGGGAGCCCCGCAGCGTCGGCTCTGACGGCGGTGGGCCCCCCAGGACTGGCTCTGACCCCTGGGAGAGGACCTTCAGGGCTCTCTGGGATTCAGCTCAGAGCTGACACCAAACTACCTGCCAGGCTGACCAGGTTGTGTGGCCCTGGGGACACTGGGTGGCAGGGGCCGCTCCCATCCATGGACAGTTCTGAGGCCCCAGGCCCTGGCAGGGATGCTGCTGGAGGCGAAAGAGCAAAGGGCACCTGGACAAAAGGCTGTCTGTCCCCAGAGGAGGTGAACGACAGCAGGTGCAGCCTCGCAAGTGGCCCCACGGTCCCGTCAGCCCCTGCCGGCTCTCAGGATGCTTTTATTTCCAGCTTTAGCTTCATACGCCTCTCGCTCAGCTCTGCTGGGGAACGCGGGGAAGCGGAAGGCTGCCCGCCGCCCAGAGAGGCTGAGGCCCCTTGTCAGAGCCCCGCGGAGATGGAAGCCAAAGATGCCGGCTTGGACAGGGCCCCCCCACACCCTCAACTTTCCACTCCCCACTTCAATGTCAAGGCTGCCCAGAGCCCGGCCGACTCTGCCCAGATGGCAGCGGGCAGCCCCTGGCTGGAGTGTGAGACTCGTTTTTTACTGGATACGGACACTGCCTCTCCCTGTCCCCCGGCCCCCTCGTGGTCAGAGGGCAGGGGTGTGAGGGACGCTCCCCACTGGGAAGCCCTATTCAGGAGGTGCGAGCCCCTGCTGCTGGACTGCCTGCTGAGCGACCAGAGGCGGCTGGAGGTTGGTGACTCTCACAAGCTCGGGCTCCTTTTGCAACTGGCTGCAAAAAGATGTCGCTGCAACTTCTGCTTCTTCTCTTTCAGTGTGGACACAAATCTGTTCTCCTTCTCATCTTCTCTGTCACTCAGACGCTCTGATTCTCTCTCTGTTGGGTTGCTGGCGCCTCTGAAGTTCCTGGCCTAAGGGATGTGTGGTTAGCCCTGCCCAGCTGGGCGTTGAAACAGGAAATTCAGGCCTGGGGTTGGGGGGAGGTGTGGCTGGGGAGCTGGAGCTGGCCGGTGTGTGTGGGGGGGTAGCGGCATAAAGGCAGTGATGCCCTGCAGTGGGGGTGGGGCCGGGCTTTGTTCACTCTTTCCATCCTCAGTGTATTTCATCCGCTCGCAGTGAACCGCCTGATGCAGTCAGGAGACCCCGCTCCTGGGCATTACATCTCGTGGGCTCTCAGTTTCCATGTTTAGAGGTGGTGACGCCGCACAGGAGAGTTCTGTGGCTGCAGCGAGTGTGCCGGGGCTTTGGAGATGGGGACTGACCGTAGGCACGCACGCCCTGGCAGTGGGGCAGTGCTGTTCACCCCGTTGTCCTAGGAGCGCACCTGGCCTGCAGGCTGGTTCTCCCGAGAAGTTCCTGGAGACCCAGGCTTCAGTGCTTCATGGCTGACACGCTGCACTGTGTGGCTCGTCCTGCTGCAAGGCTGTGTTTTCCTCCTGGGCTGTGTGTGCGTGTGATGTGGGTGCTTGTGTTGTGTGTACGTGTGCATACATTTGTACATGTATGTAAGGAAGTGAGTGCCCGCTCATCAGGCATTTGGGAGAAGAACCCGAAAGTGTGAAGGTCATGTTCGTTTCTAGCCATTGCACCTCATTTACTTTCTTTTTATCTTTTTCCTAATGGTTATTTATTTTTGAGAGAGAGAGAGAGAGAGAGAGCAGGGGAGGGGCAGAGAGAGAGGGAGAGACAGGATTTGAAGTGGGCTCTGTGCTGACAGCAGAGAGTCCGACGTGGGGCTTGAACTCATGAACCTCAAGAACATGCCCTGAGCCGAAGTTGGACCCTTAACCGACTGAGCCACCCAGGTGCCCCGCACCTCATTTACTTTCAGTTCTTTACCTCTGGCCTGATGCTCCTGGCGCTGTTGGCCCTGATCTAGCCCACAGGGACCTCAGCTCCGGTAGACTGCAGAGCCCGGCGGGATATGCACGCAGGTCTCTGTTCCCCGTGGATGCGATGCCCAGAATCCGGAGTTAGATTGTCAATACGGATGCCGCTGTCTTCCCCACCAAACCCGTTCTAAAGGGCCCTGCTCTTGATACATACTTGCTGATTTTAATGAATGGAATCCATCCAGTTCCCCCTCCTCCTCACCCCCACATCTGGTCAGCCTTCTTAGTCCTACAGCCAACGTGCCTCTCACGGCCTCGGCCTCTGCCCAGGTTCAAGTCCTTGCTATTTTAACCTGGGTTTCATAAGCGATGTCCCTTCCTCCTGTGTCTCTCTTGCCCCGTTCACCCCCCCGCATGCCAGTAGAGTTACCTTCCGGAGCACGGGTGGGAGAGTGTGATTCCTTGGCTTCAAACGCTTGATGGTCCATTGCTCTTCTGGGGATGGCAGCCAAGTCCCTTATCCTGCTAATTGAGACCTTTCCGGACCCGCTCCAGCCTACCCCCACGCCCCACCCCTGCCGGCTCAGCCATCTGGTGCTGCTTCCTGTTCCTGAAGACACCAGGGAGAGTTGTGCCTCAGGCCTTCGCTTACCGTTTTCTCTCTGCCTAGAATGATCTTCCTGCACTTTTCCATCTGCCAAGCTCCTGTAATCCCCTTGGTGTGGGTCTAAAGCCACTTCCTTGTGAGACATTTCCTACCCCCTCTGGACCGGCGAATCCCTCCTTCCATTTTGCTCCCCTAGCACTCTGGATGTGGCCCCCTATAGCGCTCCTCACATTTAATAATCATTTGCTTGAGGTTCCGAGTTCTGTACTCAACCATGAGCCCTGTAACCACAGGCCACGTCTCTGGGACAGTTTTGGATGCCTGAAGCCTAGCATACTTCCTGGCCCTCAGCGGTTGCTTGGGTCATTTTTGTTTTTAGTGAAAGAATTAATCTTGTCAAGAGGGACCACGGAGACTTAATTGGCAACTTTCTTGGATCGACTGGCTAAGGCGTAGGAAGACCCATTCCAACCCTGGTTTGCCCCTACCAACAATTTTCCAACACCAGCTGCGTGTCCTGTAACTCAACGTGATTCTGACTGCGTGTACCCAGAGGTAGTAACAGATCCCACAGCTTAACCGCCTGCCTCTTCTTCAGATGCCCGTTCAGGTTCAGGCCATCACCTGTGCTTCTGACCCACCAGCTATGGATGGGAGGCTCTGACGACCACCTTCTCTTTGGGTTCGATTAATTTGTAGAGAGGCTTACAGAGCCCAGAGAAGCAGTTTACTTAATAGATTATGTATTTATTATAGAAGGATCTAACTCAGGATCAGCCAGACAGAAGAGAGGCACAGGGCACACCGATCTCCCTGAATGTCCACGTGTTTGCCAACCTGAAATTTCTCCCAACGCTGTCCTTTGGGTATTTTTAATTTTTTTAATGTTTATTTATTTTGAGAGAGAGAGAGAGCGAAAGCAGGGGATGGGCAGAGGAAGAGGGAGAGGGAGACAAAGAATCTGAAGCAGGCTCCAGGCTCTGAGCTGTCAGCACAGAGCCCGATATGGGGCTCGAACCCACGAACCGTGAGATCATGATGTGAGCTGAAGTTGGACACTCAACTGACTGAGCCACCCAGGTGCCTCTGTCCTTTGGGTTTTTATGGAGGCTTCACTACATAGGCGGTAGTGATATCACTGATAAAATCACTGGCTATTTGGGATTGATTCAACCTGCAGCCCCTCTATTCTCCCAGGAGGTGGCGGGGGGGGAGGGGGATGGGGCTATAAGCTTCCTTCCTCTCCAATCACGAGGTTGGTTCCCCTGGCAACCAGCCCACAGCCTTAGGTCTCGGATTCCAAGAGTCACCTTCTTAACATAACAAAAGATAACTTTATTGCCCTCCTCACAGGAAATGTCTAGGGTTTTAAGCGCTCTGTGTCAGAAATGAACAAAGACCAAATATGTATTTCTTATGACAAATCACAAGGTCACAGGCACTAAGGGGAGGTTTGTATTATCATTCCAACTCAAAAGGTCAGTTTTCAGTACTTTACTGCCAAAATCTCTCTTAACAAATTTCAACAACATATGTGTATTTCTCCATCTCAAAAATTCAAGCTTTGATGCAAGTGAAGCAAAAGTAGAATGCCGTTATAATGACCAGCTTCTCCCCATCCCAAATAGCCGAATAAGCAGAACCTCACCTTGGCAGTGACTCCTCTGCAGTCCACATGATTCAGCTTGCTGGGTTTTGGTGACACTGAGAATTTTTCCCTTTCTTTTAACTCCTCTTACCGGCAGGTAAATTACATCCTTCTGAAAAAAAAATTTTTTTTAATGTTTATTTTTGAGAGCAAGAAGGAGTGCATGAGCTGCGGAAGGTCAGGGGTTGGGGGGCGGGGGGGAGACAGAGAATCCAAAGCAGGCTCTGCACTGACAGCAGAGAGCCTGATGCGAGGCTCAAATTCAGGAACCCGGAGGTCAGGGCCTGAGCCAAAGTCAGTCGCTTAGCTGACTGAGCCACCCAGGCGCCCCTTGAAAATCTTGTTTTTAATAAACTGGAGTTTGTGACATCCTGAGCAGCTGTGGCTCTTGGAGCCCAGCCACGCCGCGGGCTCACGCTGCCAGTTCCCTGAACTACCGGGTCATTTCGGGGCCTGAAAGTTGGCATTCCGGGGGTTCTGACTGCAGAAAGCCACCTTGACTTACCTTTTGGACTTCATGATTTTTGACTTAAAAAAATACAGTCAATCCTAGATACATCTTTTCCTTGCTCCTTTATCATCCAAATGCAGCTTTTAAAAATAATTAATCAGTCACAGTCCACTAGAGAGGTGTTTCAACTGTGGGGAAGAAGGGTAAGGTGGCTCCTGGTTCACACTTGAGGCTTGCACGCCTGGGGCAGCGCCTGCACCGGTGGGATTCTGGAAGAGGTCAGCCCTGCTGCCTGGGGGCACCTGCCGGGGCCTGTGGGCGTGTGTGCAATCCCACGGGGCCCTGCTGTGTGGCAAGTTAATGGGACGGCCTGGGTGGCAGCCTGGCATTCTCCCCCCCCCCCAGCTGTGTGACTTTTGGCAATTTGCTTAATTGTTCTGTGCCTTTTTTTTTTTTTTTTAGTTTTTTTAATGTTTATTTATTTTTGAGAGAGAGACAGAGTGTGAGCAGGGGAGGGGCGGAGAGAGAGGGAGACACAGAATCTGAAGCAGGCTCCAGGCTCTGAGCTGTCAGCACAGAGCCCGATGAGGGGCTCAAACTCACGAACCGTGAGGTCATGACCTGAGCTGAAGTCGGATGCTCAGTCGACTGAGCCACCCAGGTGCCCCAATTGTTCTGTGCCTTAAGAGGCTCTTGTTAGAAGGCGGAGATAAAAAAAAAACCATGGTACCTACCTCATCAGATTTTCATGTGGATGTGCTTGCACCTACGGGGTGCTCCCGACAGGGTCTGGCACTGAGCAAGTGCCCAGAATATTGGTCATTATCATCATTAGAGACATAGCTCAGAACAAGAGAATTTGGGTCCAAGAAAAACAATGCACCCTCCCCCCTCCTCCCCATAGTTCAAATCAAACTCTTGTCTCAAATGATATCTGTAGCTTAAGCACCTTTGTTTACGGTAAAGTAACACATGAACAGCGGTGACACTATACTGTTTTCAATTATTCGAATGTCTGCCATGTGGAAGAGGAATTAGCTTTATTCAGTGTGGTAGAAGTGACAGAAAGAACGAGGTCCAGGGCATAGGGTTTCAATAGGAAGACAAGGCCCCTGACAGCTGGACTGGTCTGGCATGAGGAGGGCCTGGTATTTTTTCAGGGGAGTGTGCTTCTATTTGTATCATGTTTGTGCAAAGGCTCCAGCTTGCTCATTCAAGGTACTGGAGGGACATTCAGGATTGGGGAAATGTCCTCTGAAAGACGGGGATCCTAGGGTTCTGGGGTTTTGGGGCCTTTCAGATACTATATTCTAATTCCTTAAATCCCCTCTCCCTTGCCCTTTAAGTAAAAAAAGCAAGTCTCAGGAATTTGAGTTTTAGCTCCTTTTACAATGCAGCCGGTCCTCAGCATTTGTGGCTCCTATATTCACGAATTTGCTTACTTTCTACGGTTTATCGCCATCTCCAAAGTCGATGCTCCCAGTGCTTTCCTGGGCATTTGCAGACGTGTGCAGAGTGGCTAAAAAGTTGAGTCGCCTGGGGGCACCTGGGTGGCTCAATCGGTTAAGCGTCCATTAACTCTTGATTTTGGCTCAGGTCATGATCTCGCAGTTTGTGAGTTCGAGCCTAGCATCGGGCTCCGTGCTAACAGCGGACAGACTGCTTGGGATTCTCTCTCTCCCTCTCCCCCTCTCCTGCTCATGCTCTCTCTCTCTGTCTCTCTGAAAATAAATAAATAAATACAAAACTTAAAAAAGAAAGTTGAGTTGCACGATGTGCACTTTCCCAGCTGAGGCTGAGCAAGGTGATTCCACCTTCTTGTTTGAGGTGTATCCTTTTTGTGGCCTAGTTAGTGCTTCTTGTTGGCCATTTCCCTGTTTAAAATGGTCGACCAGTTTCGGGCTGCCATGCCGACCCGCGTTCCCAGCCGCAAGAAGGCTGCATTGAGCCTTACGCAGGAAATGTGTTGAATGAGCTTTGTTCAGGCGTGGGCTGTAGCGCTGGGGGCCGCGAGTTCTGTGTTAATGAACGAGCAATAAATATTATGGAAGGCATCTTTAAACGGAAGCACACGTAAAACAAGGTTACATCTTGATCAGTTGGCAAAGGTGTGATCAGAGGCTCTCAGAAGCCGAACCCTCGTTTCCCCGGGAAGCAATGGTTTCGTATTTGCTAACTGAGCATTTCCCGTGACTTTATAGAACACGACGGCCATGAATGAGGATTGACAGAACGTGTGTTTTATGCTGTTTAGAAATAGCCACCCAGGGACATTGCCTGGGATTGCATGGGCTGAGAAAATTGTGATCAAAGGAAATGCTAACTGGGTGTGCAGAGGAGGGAAGAGACGAGAATCTTGTAAGTGAGCCCTGCCTGAGCTTCTGGAAGCTGGGGGACACAGAGAGAAATTGCCTGCCTTATAGGGTTGTGTCACTGGATGAGACATGACCATCGGGGGCTCTGCTTGCAGCAAAGATAGACATTCAAACATCTCCTGGGGCATCAGTTCGGTGTCCTACAGGGATCATTGGTTGAAGGGGACAAAGTGAAGTGGATGTTGGCTATGAATGAAATTGTCTTTGCTTTTTTTAAAAAGTTTTTAATTTTTAATGTTTTTGTTTATTTCTGAGAAAGAAAGAGACAGCATGAGCAGTGGAGGGTTAGAGAGAGAGAGAGGGAGACACAGAATCTGAAGCAGGCTCCAGGCTCTGAGCTAGCTGTCAGCATAGAGCCTGATGTGGGGTCTGAACCCACGAACCATGAGATCATGACCTGAGCCGAAGTCGGACGATCAACCGAGCCACCCAGGCGCCCCGATTGAAGTTGTCTTTGACTTTCTTTCCTGTAGTTCTTCTGCTTCAGCTCCAGTAACTTTAATAACACCGCCTCATGGGTGTGGCGATGGTAATAGGACACTTTGCAAGGCAGTTGAACCGCCCATGCTGACTTTCTTCCATCCCGAATATGTACCCCTGCGTCACCGGTAAAATTTGCACCTGTAATCTGGAGCAGATCAAGGCTAAAGAGGTTAACATAATCATTCATTCATTCAGGAAGTATTTACTGACTGACTTGTGCCTGGCCTAGGAGGTTGTTATTAGAATAAGTTAGTAACAGACAGCAACACGATATCCGAGTCTTCACAGGCCAAAGTTGTGTTTTTTGCTTAAAAGTCGCATTTCGCAGAGGTGGTTGGGGGATCCACTCCACAAGGTTGCTCAGGAAGCCTGCCTGCACCACCTGGACATGTGAGCCAGTCACTGGGACAAGGAGGAAAACAGTAAGGGACCCTACAAGAGCAATTCAATGCCAAGTGCAGAAGTGACCTCTAACGCTTGCAGCCGCACAGCAAGGTGGGGAGGGAAGTGTAATCTTTCCATGTGCCCAGAGCAGTGGAGAAGCAAATAAGACTGACCACTGCCATTTTCTACATGACTGGAAAAGAGTTCTTGCCCTCAAGACGCCCAAGGGTTAATGGAGGCAAAACAAAACAATAGCTGTGCCGTGGTGTCCTGAGTACTACGATAATTTCGTGCAACTCCATTCTTCCCGCAAGCTCAGACCAAGAACCCAGCCTTATTTTGACTTTCTCACCCCCTACCTGTGATCTATTAGCAAATTTTCTGTCTTCCAACAGCCGTTTTCTGAATGTGTCCAGGATCACATCCCTTTTCAACGTCTTCTCTGTGCCCACTCTCATTCAGGCCACTGTCCCCTCCTTCCTGGGTGATTTCCATGGCCTCCCTTGGGCATCTGACTTCTGCCCTTGCCCACCGCAGGCAGAGTGAAGCTGTTGAAACCTCAATCAGATCATGGACTTTGGGCTCAAACCCCACCCCCGCCCCCTGGCTGCCCCCCTTCACCCTCAGCGTGACATCAGAACTTTTTAATGTCTTTGAGTCTCTTCATGATGCATTCCCCATCGCCTCTCTGACCTCCTCATCTACAGCCCTGACACCCCCACCACTCAGCCAAGCCACCTCAGACTCAGTGGTCTCCTGCCTCTACTTTGTAAGGCCAGTGACACTTCTGCTCGGAGCCTCTGCTCTGACTCTTCTCTTTGTTGAAATGTTCTCTCTGGGAGCCCCCAGGTTTCCCCTCTTACCACTTTTAGATCTTTGCCCAAATGTCAGCGAGATCTGATTTAAAACTGCAGCCCCACTGTCTGCCAGCATTTTGATGCCCTTTACTGGGTTCTACGGTGTTTCTTCTTTCCTAACACTCATCAGTTTCTAAGGCTCCATAAAACGTACTCATTATGTTGATTTTTGTCTTCCTGCACAAGAATGCACGTTGAGAGACACTTAGAATTTTGTGCTGTACCCTCGACACCTCAAACTGGTGGCTGACACTGAGGAGACACTCAGTAAATATTTGTTAAATGGGTCATACGAATAGGTCAAGGACAGGTCCCTAAGGCAGTATGGAGAAAGGACCTTTAACACAGGCTGGAGAGAAGACACTTGAGTTGGGCGTTGAAGGACATGTGGGTGTGAAGCAGGCAAAGGATGGGAGGAAGGTGTGTTCCGGGGAGAAAGGCCAGATCCACTCACTGATAGGCCACGGATCCATCTTCAGAAGATCCCTGGGCCTCCTGTCGAGAAGAAAAATAATTAAACATGAATGTACTGTTCACTCTCTGACAAACGATGGGATCATTGTGTCTCCACGTGGGTTAAATAAGACGATGCCATTTCTAGGTTTCTAGAAGGGTTTTATGAAGTGCTTCCCGTAATTGTCACCCAGGCGGCGGGACAGCCTGCCGAGTGGAAGCTCACGTTCTCCTTTGTCTTGGCTGCTCTTTCAGTCTCAGTGTGTTTATCTTCATAATTTTAATGTGATTTTGAGAACGACGAGCCCTTGGTCAGGTCAGGAAATTTGTGTCCTTTGTATTATGCATTTTACCCCCCATGCAGATAAGGGTACAATGTGATGTTTTTGTTTAAAATAACTTTCTCTTTCTGTGGGTTTTATACTCAAATTACACTTTCTCTTTATATAACTTTTTTTTTTTTTTTGAGAAATGAATGCATCTGGCATGGGAAAAATGTATATTTGTGGTTCTTTTTTTAAAGGAGAATAAAGAATTTCAGTTTTGAAATAGTTTCGAAATGTTCTGGGCTTAAAAGAAAATAAGTTTGCTTGAATGCTATTGTAATTTGGCTTTCATTTTTCCCCCCCTTCAAACCAATGTAGGTAAAATCCTTAAGATTAAAGCTTCAGAAACTTCAAGAAAAAGCAGTTGAGGATGATGATTATGATAAAGGTGAGTTTTATTTATTTATTTATTATTTCTCGTTTTCTCTGGAATGTCCCATTTCTCTTTTATCCTCATTCATACCTGCTCTCTATACCTCAATGAATTATGTGGTCTATTCCTCTGATCGCCTCCACCCAGTAACAATTCGCTGTCTTACCACACTATTATTTTGTGGGTTTCAAAGCACTTTCTGCACATTAATCACTTGGGTTATTAATTTGTTGATCATCCAGAAATACCTGGAGTACTTGCACAATGACAGTTATATTACCTCATCATCTGCCTGCCTAAAGTGTGATATATCTATAATTTATTCCTTCATCAAAAAAACTCTTTGTTGAATACCTATAATGTGCTAGGTAAGGTAGCAGGAATTTTATTTTTTTTTAATTTTTTTTAAATTTTTTTTAATTTTTTTAATTTTTAAGTTTTATTTTTTTTAATGTTTATTTATTTTTGAGAGAGAGAGGGAAAGCACGAGTGGGGGAGGGGCAGAGAGAGAGGGAGACACAGAATCTGAAGCACGCTCCAGGCTCTGAGCTAGCTGTCAGCACAGAGCCCGACATGGGCTCAAACTCACGAACAATGAGACCATGACCCGAGCCAAAGTCAGATGCTTAACCAACTGAGCTACCCAGGCACCCCTGGGCACATTTTATCTGATCTTAGGATGCCTGTAAATCTAAGCCTTCCAGGAGCTTTTTGACTTTATACTCTCCAGGACCAGAGAGAGAAAATGAGATGAGTTTAAGAAATGCCAGCCTGTGCCAAAGGGGTCAAATGTACCAAACTCCCATGTCGATGGACCCAAATGTTTGCTAGAAAGGAGAAGTAACATGAGACCAGAAGATGGAGTAGTTGTCCAGATACCAGAAAAAACCAGTTGACATGACCATCCCAGAGTAGGAGCTGGAGCAGAAAGGGCTGATGTGACAGCTTAGAGGACACAGAGCAGACTGGGTTGAAGGAAGGATTTCAGGGATGGTTGGCCCGGGAAAAGTGTTCAGGATTCTGAATGCCGATTGCAAGAATTCATAGCCATTTCTGCTGGATCTGGGGAAGAGAGAGGGCTTAACATCCCTGGTTCCCCCAGACACTTATGAATTTGATAGATAGTCCTGGGGATAACCAGGTTCAGCACACTCAGGACTGGTCTGGAAATGGAATGTAGGCTTAAGAATTCTTAGCCTAGGGGCCTGGGTCTTCAGCCCTATTGACCCGTATTCTTGTATTCCCAATGAATACATCACAGCCCGCTGGCACTGGGGCACCACATGAGTGGTGTGAGTGATCTCCAAAAGGAGGTGGCAAATCCTATTCTAGAAACACTCGGGGCTGGTGCTGTGTCGCGTTGTCAGTACATTTACCACTGAGGTGGGGGTGAGAGCATGCCCGGGTGGGAGGAAGGAGAGCTCTAAACTCTACCGCTCTTTCTACAGGTTGTCTTGATTTTGGGGAGGGTGCTGGCTGTGAGGGAGGAGGCGGGTCTGAGGTGAGGGCCCCCCACGAACCCGGCACAGCTGGAGGCGGGGAGCACATGAGCAGTGCCTGCACTGCTGACTTTTGTCTGTGAACGGAACCTAGTTTGAAGCGCCCTACTGCTGCCCAAATGACTTGTCTCTGGCCTGGGCCGTTAGCGCACAGCTCTGCTCTAACACACAAAGCCGAAGACACAAGTGGAAAACCAGGCCCTCTTTTTCTGATCGAGGCCTGGTGAGCTTTCCGGGCTTGGTTTCCTCAGTGGGCTTCATTAAACAAAGGCCTCCCTTCTTCCGTCTTTTCTCCAGAGAGCTCTGAAACACCCAAGGGAGCACAGTTGGATAAGATATGCCTCATCGGGGAAGCCAGAGGAACAAAGACACCTTTGTGTAGTGTTTCCGTCTGCATTTTTTTTTCTTATTTCTGTGTCAAGAATGAGAAGGTCTCCCGAATGACAAGTTTGGGGGTGGGATGGGCCTTCCGCGTTTCACAGGCCTTCTGGATGGTTGGGAGGTAGACTGGGGTGTGAGAAAGCACGGGTGCAGGGATCTACTTGCTGGACGACTGGGCTGTGGCTGAATTCTAGAGGCAGAGGCTGGTCAGGGGCTCAGTCCTTCCTGATCCACCAGGAGTCTGTGGGCAAGCACCCCTGGAGGTAATTAACACACCCACTCACATACCTCCCCCTTTCTGTTTAAACTTGCAAACCTTGCAAACCTGGTTCAGGGTGTGGAGAGGTGAATATTCTGATGAAACGTGTAGTGGGGCCGGAGTCAGTCAGTGTTTTGTGATGAACGAGTGGGTTACTTGCTGCTAAGCGCATAGGCGCCCCCGATGGCATGCTCAGTGAGCGCAGGGGCCGAGCACTCTTGCCGCCTGAGAACGGATTACTCAGCTCATCCGCAGTCCCCTGGGCGGGGTGCATGTGGGGAAGACTTGTGTGTAGAACTTGGCTCATTATTTAACAAAATTCCTACTGAGCATCTCGTATATAACAGTGCTTCACAAACTTTAACGTATATGTGAATCGCCTGCGTCGTGTGTTAAATGCACCTTCTGACCCAGTAGGGCTGCGGTGGAGACTCCGTTCCTCCTGTTTCTAAAGGATGCTCCACTAGCTGTCCAGAGAACCGATCTGGAGTACAGATGGGCTACAAGGAAGACACAAGGCCATTTTTAAAGACCCCCCGGGCGCTGTCCTTAGGATTTTCATCTCAGGGAGTTTATGGCCCGGGAGGGGAGATAGCATGGTACACGATAATGATAGTGACGTTGCATGTAACACGTCTCTTAAAATGTAAACAGAGGGAGTTCCAAAAGGGGAGGAACTACTTCTGCGGAGGTGGGGTAGGTGAGGATCCAGCCCCGTGGAGGAGGACGGGCCCGGAAGGTGTGGAGGATGCGTCTGGAAGGGCATTTTAGAGAACGCAGAGGGGTGTAAAAGCCACCGTCCGACGGTTTGATTATCTGGACGTGAGATGTGAAGCTGGCTGTTGTTGGAAATGGATCATTGCAGGACCCAGTTGGAACAGCGCATGGACTGGCACGTAGGAGGTGATCACTAAATTCTCATAAACCGATGGCCAAGTCATTAGGGAAGTTTGATTGACACTGAGGTGGAGGATTTGTTGTAATGAGATTTGTTGAAATCGGATCTGAATGAGATTGTGTTTGTCCCATGGTTTACCCGGGGTTTTAAGAATTGTGACTTTTCTTTATACTCAGCCTTCATGGTCTGTGAGTGGACTCACTTCTGCCTCTGTGTTCGAGCAGCCATGGGACTGTGCCCTGTCTTGGGGGAAGGGGGCTCCTCGAGTCTGAGAGGTTTGCCAGGAGAACCTGGGGGGCTCTCCTCTGGTTTTGTTGCTTTTCTCTCTTTCTTTCTAGTTTCACTCATAAAAATGTATTTGAGTTCCAGAGGAAGGAGCACTTGGCACAGAATAGAAATTTTCATGTTTTATCTCCTCAAAGTGCTGGCAAATTGACAGACATCAGTGCTTGTCTCTGTTTTGGCTAACACAGGACAGAGACTGGAAAAATGGCAGACATTGCTTGAAAACACTGCCAGGTTAACTAACAAACTCCAAACACCTGGGACACATCTTTGGGAAGTTCAGAAGCACCTATGTATGTAGGGAAATTTAGAAAACCACCTGCTTGCTCAGGGCAAGATACATGCTCAGAGAAGAGCCGAGAAGACCCTAAGCTTTCATTCGCAGGATGATCCTGGGGCTCAGGGCAGGCCTGCTGAAGTGTTGAAAGAATACCCCGGCACAGAACCAATCTGCAAAGACTGGGAGAGGAATTTGTTTGTTTGTTTTGGTGTCTTTGTGTGTGTTTCTTCTTTTTTGCTTCCCCCCCCCCATGCTTTCTTTTCTGTTTTTGATTTTTTTTTCTGCCATTTGAGGAAATCTCTGTCTAAAAACTGGCTGAACACTAGCTATAAAAACAGAGACTGCAGTGATCACACTCCTCAAGGAACAGTCTTTGCAGAAATAGTTTGGAAAAGTATCTAAACAGATGGACTACTTCAGCCTTCAAACATGTTGATGACAACAAAATAAAAACAACAGAAAGCCCCACAACCTGGGGGATTTGGAAAATCTGATTTCCAGAGTCATCACGTTATAATATTCAAGTGTCCAGTTTTCAACAAGGCATCTCAAGGCGTACAAAGAAATGGAAACACATGACCCTTTGGAAGAGGCAAAATAAATGGACAGAAACCATCCTTGAAGAAGCCCAGACCTCAGATTTATTAAAGACTTTAAAACAGCTGTCCTAATGATGTTCAAAGAGGTAAAGGAAACATGGATGAAGAACTAAAGGAAATCAGAAAAATGATGTATGAACAAAATGGGAATATCAATAAATAAATAGAAGTTGTAACAAGGAATCAAATTCTGAACTGAAAAGTATAGCTAAAATAAAATATTCACTAGAAGGGTTCAACAGTCTATCTGAGGAGGCAGAAAAACAATCAGCAAACTTAAGATACAACAATTAAAATAGTTTAGTCTGAAGAGAAGAAAGAAAAAAAATGAGGAAAATTGAAGATTGTCTCAGAGGCCACAGGGACATTATCAAGCAAACCAACATATACCTATGGGAGTACCAGGGGAAGAGAGAGAAGAGCAGAAGAATATTTGAAGAAATGGTGGCTGAACACTTCCTGAATTTGGTGAGAGATATCAATCTACAAATTCAAGAGCTCAGTGAACTACAAGTGAGGTAACCTCAAAGAGACCCACAGGGAAACGCATAATCAAATTGTCAAAAGTAAAAGACCAAGAGATAATCTTGAAAGCAGCAAGAGAGAAGCAACTCATCACATACAAGGGATCCTCAATAAGACTGGCAGCCATTTTCTCATTACCGTAGAGAGGGAAGGCAGAGGGAAGATATATTTAAAGTGTGGAAAGAAAAAAATTGGTGATCAAGAATTCTATACCCAGCAAAACTGCCATTCAAAAAAATGAGGGAGAGGAGAGCCTGGGTGGTTCAGTATCCAATTTTGGCTCAGATCA